TAAGAAAAAAAAGGCATTTTGTTCCAAAATAAAAGGTTGCATTGCAGCCATTGCTCATATCAAGTGCAGAATGTATATACCATAAGAATGTAAAGAAATGATAAAGGGAGGAAAGAATAACCCTTGGATGAAAATACAAGAGGTATATATATATAATTCAAAGCATATGGGCTCTGGTAACCAACCCAACGACCTAGTGTTGAGTAAAATCTTCAAGGCAGTAACATGATCATCAATACTACAATACAGACAATTTTAGCTATAGATACAGACCCTACTGCATCACAAACATGGCTAGATTAGGAAACCATTTTGAACGCTGCAATCCATGCTTCTTTTTCTTTTCTAACCACTGTTATGCAATCAACAGGCAACTGGGCACGTGGGTAGTTCTAATGGAGGCATGATACTAGCATTACCTGCCATTGATTGGGACCGAGCAGCAGATTCCAGTCGTTCCCATCTCAATTTACGCCTTTCTTCTGCCTCAATCAACAAGGACTTTTCCTCCTCCAACTTCTGCTGGCAGGCAACCACAAGCTCCTCATCCATCTCACAAAGCATCTTTCTAATGTTTTGTGTCAGGTTGAGAACTGCTTGGTTCCAATGAGTCTGCGTGTTCCGTTCGAGGGCTGAGAAGATAAGAGGCAAAATCACCTGTTTATTCTGTGTGATAAGTTGAAGGATGTGCTCATTGTTCCACAGCAAATGGGCTCGTTCTGCTACCTGAAAATTGTCATCAAATGAAAAGACGTAGACATTTTCATTTTTGACCTTCATCCCCAGCACATTACTACATATCCCCCCATCTAATTAATAACTTTAGGCATGTGCAATCCTAACTACCATAAGTTTATAACTAAAATTTCTGTAGTGCTAATACCCACAAAACACATCCAATTTCAGTATAATAATTTTTTTTCCTCTTTTTTTACATATATGGAAGTTTCATCTCCATCAACCAATTTGCCCTTTCCATACAATGAAGTACTTAGCCGCATTTAGTTTGTCAGTATACTATAAATAAAAATTGGCATAGGATTCCTAATCATTTATGTTGTTAGACTGTTCAAATCAAATCATTGTTGTAAACTTATTAGTGTTATGAGATCATGACACGTGGGGCCAAGTAGCAGATCAATCAGATGATAGGGAAAAAGGTAAAAACAAAACTAAGTGGAACAGTTTTAATCATATTTATAATTTCAAGCTGTTTCAATAGAACAAGGAAACAAAAAAGTAGGTCTGGAAGAGACTCAATTAACAAAATACCAAGATTTTGGTGATAAGTATATGTCCAAAGTAGCCTATTTTGGGATCCATTAGAAAAGTAAGAAGCATACCTGGTAATGTGAGCTATTGAGGCAATATCCTATTCGCCGAAACAAAGGGACCATTATCTTTTGGAACTCGGCCATGTTTATCATCTCCAAAATCTCTTCTAGCTCACTTATGAACATCAACTCCTTCTGGCTATTAGTTACCGGCCAGTACTTCAAGAGTCCCTTAATCACATTATTAGCCAATTTTGGATCCTTATCTATAAACTGCACAACACAATATGTCAATTGTTGATGATAAACACCCAATGATTTTGGTTTGTGCAGAGGAATAAGGGCTCTCCACAAAAACATCTTGTGCTCCTCCTTCAATGGCAAAGCAAACCCACTAATAATACTGCCAAAAATCTCCAACAGCTCCGCAATGCCATTATGTTTTTCAGTTTCAAAGACAAACCGATAGATAATATTTGTAACAGCTTTCCGGATAAAAGGCCGGTGTACCATGAATTTCCCATAAATCCTATGCAGAATTGTTTTCAAACAGTCCCTTTCTCGTGGGTCCTCAGAATCAAAGAGGTCCAATAATCTCAAAATAAAAGAGTGATCCACATACTTTTTTGCCACTTTCGCATCAAGGGAGCTATAACTGATAAACCGAACAAGTAGATCATACACAATTTGCAAATTTGACCAAGCAGGGTCAAACATTGGTTCTTCATCGTCTGCTTCACCAATGGTGCCATTGGACCGATACTTTGGTGGGAAAACTCTGAACAGGTTGATTGCACACATTTTACACATTGCAGACATTGATTGTTCATTGAACTTTGCACATCCAGAAGAAACAAAATCAACAAGTTCTATCAATGTTTGGCGTTTAAGATCTTGCTCAGCAACATCTTTAGCTGGATCACAGAAATCAGAAACCTCACAGCAAAGATTCAATTTACTGACAAACAGGCCCTGCTTTTGCAGATTTGAAACATCTTTGAAGGATAAATGGGGTTCCACTGCTTCCACTCCACCCATAATGCTGGCAGGAAAAACAGCTGATGAAACCCGTTTAACAACACTTAATCGACTTGAAAGACTGTTCCCAACATTTGTACACTGGACTCCATTGCCTGAGTTAGAAGTTTGGTTGCCAGAATCAAGCCCAGTTGAATCAAATGAGGTAGATTTTGATGACTTTCGCGGGAGTTTGCTTAGAATTTGTTTGAACATGGTGGCAGTAAAGCAAGTTTCAGCAAACTCCGAATTACCTGAATCAGGTATAGCAATTATGGTGATTGTCAGTTCAACACAATGCATACAAATAAGATCTAGAATTTGCACAGGGTTGCTATTGTAATTTTGCTAGATTGCCATTCACAAGTGAAAGTGAAACAATCAAAATATGACTGGTGCCAATGAGAAGGGCCGCATTAGATTCTTAAAAAGCCAGAAATGCACCTTAGACATAAATTCTTTAAATTAGTGAAAAACACCTAATTCTATATGTACAGAAGGAAACTGCAAACCAAACTCTAAGCTTAGATCCAATGGTTCTTTTCGCAAGATTCCAGGAACCATGATGCCCATTGCTGCTGGATAGCAATATAATCAGGATGAAAACCCAAGGTTCAAATTCCTTGGGCTAAGAATAGAACTGTTTTGCTAATAAGGGTAAAAACACCTTAAAAATGTTATTTTTTAATCTTTCTTTCTTTCAGGGCAAGTTTTAAAAATAAGTTCCTTCCTACATTAAGCAATGTCATGCTTTCTAAATTTATGATCTACCCATAGATATTTGACAGCTACATTGACAAGCAGCCACAATAACCATTTAAATCATCATGCCACTGGGAATAGTTCATCCCAGACAAACCGACCACAATAGCAAAACAGCAAAGAATACATTAAGTAATTCAGTCACCCCAAATACAGCATACTTACTCAAACTGCCGCTAGAATCACTCAATTAGTGAAGGAAATATCTATTAGTGAAGATTTTAAAGCAATCACATAGATTCATTTTAAAACAAAACCACCATGTTCATTTTTTTAGCTACAAGAACTAACTTGATCTGGTTCCCACAAAATTCAACCAGATTAATTTAAAATCACTCTATTTGTCAACTTACTCGAACTGCTACAAAATTTTAAAGCAATCGCTTTGGACTAAAAAAAAAACTCCCCAGAAAAAGGTTATGCACCATAATCTCAAACAGAGGTCAGACATTAGGAAGGATTCGTTAAAATTTTGTTGGCAGCAGGGTTACTAGCCTAAAAAAACTCAGATCTGCAACTATAAAGCGTAAATAATGACGGATCTACACCAAACTGCAAGCATCAGAGAAATTGACAAAAACCCAGATCTCATTTATCAGAAACACCAAAAGAACTCAATAAACAATCCATAAACTCCCACAAGTTCATAGTTTGAAACACAAAATGGCATCACCAGCGTATGAGGAAAGAATTTAACTCAACATGTAACAAAAGAAAAAAAAAAAAGAAAAAAAAAGCACAGCAGTTGCTAAACCAGAGTAAAGACATAAAGAGAAAATAAACAGAGAAAGAGCACGAACCCAGAATTCTTCAGCTTTCAGGAACAAGATTGAGAGTAAGTGAAGAAGAGAAAGAAGTTGAAGAGAAGAAAACCCAAAAGGGTAAAGTGAAAGATAACTGAACCAAAATGCCTTAGATGGAGAAAAGCATGGTCCTTTTTTATCGGTTCTTGAGAGGGCATTGGCTCAGAGATCTAGCTTGAATGAGGGAAAAAAGGGTTGTCTGCAGGAGTTGGATCTGCATGAAGGAAGATGAATAGATGGGTTCCTCGATTAAAGAGAATAGGAGGTGTGGCATTTTCTGAGAAGTGCAGGCTGCCCTGATCAGGAAAACATATGGGAAGCAAAAAAGAATTATTAGTATAATACTTAATCATTAATATGGGGTCACTTTGTTTTGTTATCTCAATTATAATCAGCAGTGAAAACATGTACTAGTTCTTTATAATTTTACCACTAAAAGAAGAGTACTTTGTAATTTCAGTAAAAATGACTTTTTTTATTTAAAAAATTATTATTTTATAATTTAATATAAGTAAAAATGGATGATTACCGTGTTTCTATTTTTAATGAAATATGGGATTTTTTTTTTTTTTTGAACTTAAGTTAAATGGAATTTACAAATTTTTTTTTTTGCAGTCTGCTCTGCAAGTTTTTGATGAATCTTTGGACCTTCTTAATTCATTAATTTTTTATACATTGGACTGGTATTTTTTTAGAGTTATGTTAAGTTATGATTGGGGATTAATTCATTTGGTTATTTTAAATAGACAGTTAAAACTTAATAGTTATTAATTGAGTAAACAATTTCTATCTAATTAAAATCAATATCTTTTCAAATACTTTAACTAAATCTTTAAAGAAAGATTAGTAAGCATAAGTTGTAAATGTAAACTAAATCAAACACAGCCAACAACTTTACAAGAAAGAGTAGAAAACTATACCTTCATGTTGTTGCTAGGCCTAGAGCGGTTTGTTTTTAGTGGATAACCAATATTCAATGCACCC